CCTGAAGTTGTAAGTTGAGACTGCGTGGGGTCGGTCCGCCCTTGTATGGCGGCATGAGCTCATGCTGGAGATGAGAAATGTACTTTCTGCAGTACAGCTGCAGGCCTGAAGTTGTTTTTGTTTTTAACATGCATGACGCAGTAGAGGTAGAGGACTTCACAGCGGTACGAAAGAAGTCCCTTAGCGTTTCTCTCGATATCCTGGTCCTCTATAAAGCTTCTCTCTTGGCATAAAACATTCGTTTGAAACATAATGATGAAAAATCTGGTTTTTCGATCGTTCTTGCAATCGTGAAATAAGCTCATTAAACAAAGAAATTGCAGTTAATTTGTTATCTTTCGGAACTATAGAGGCTATTCTTCAGAGCGTTTCAGACATCGGGTTTCTATTTAAAAAGAAGCCTACTTCGTAATGAACTTGTTTACCCAAACGGAGGCATGTATGTATGTATATATCTATGAAAGGATGATAGTGGTTATACCCTTTGCATCGGGAGTTAGCTTGCGCCATTTAGCCTAGCAACATTACACTGGCCACCATGCCCTCTAGTGTTGCCAAACAGAACATTTTTTACACAGCATCAGTTTCCTTCATTACTCCCACCCAGAGTGATGCGTTGGTCGATATCAATCGTCGACGGAGTTCTCTAGCTGCGGCTGTCTGCTGCCGCATTGACTCTGTTCTCACTACTTACGGTTCCCGATCCTTTGATTCATTCGCGCTGTTTGCACACGGCACGGCAGGAGACTGCTAAGTATATTGGCTCGCGACGCGGTTCCTGTTTCAACGGACGCAAACTTCTCTCGAAACGGCGAAAAACGAAAGAAAAAAGAATCAGGGGTGAAAAAATTTGCGAAGACGGAGCGCGTCTTCAATTTCAGATTGGCTTTTTTGTTTCTTCTTTATTGAATTTTTTACCCCAGGGGGAGCTAATTGCTTCTTCTATCCGAGTGAATGAGAAGATCGCGTCCGTCGAATTTCTTTTCTGTTCTCATATATCGCGATTGCGAGGAAAAACGTCACCCTCTCAAAAAAACGAAAAAAAAAAAAAAACAGGTAGAAACGCACAAAAACTTTGCTGCGCTTTCTTTGACGCAAGAAGACGGGGGCAATTGCGAGGGAGAACTTTAATCTCAGCGACGTTTTGCGCGTCGACTGCAAAATATAAAACCCCGAATTTCGCTGCGAAATCACTATGATTGCACTAATAATAATAGTCCCCCCCCCCCCCCCCCCCCCAAGAAAAAAAAAAGAAAAAAAAAAAAGAAATCCAGTTTTAAAAGCGAGAAGAACGAGAAAAATTATAAAGTAATTCAAAAATCTGAGAGGGTACCGAGCCCCGCTTTAACGTCGGACGCCATAAAAGCATCGCTTTTGCGCTCTCTGTTCCATCATTATTTTTTTTTTATATCATTATTTGTATTTTATTTTCACCTTTTCCACGCCCGTGCTCGTGCGTTCTTTCCCAAGAGAGGGTTAAAAAGCGCGTTGAGTGAAATTCCGACTTTATTGCTAGCGCACGCCCGTTTTGATTGCGTACGGCGAAATGCCCCCCCGGGACGCGAGACGCACGGGCAGGGGCCACGGGGTGCCTTGAGCTTGTGGTCGCGCCGCGCTTTTACATTGCCTCCCGCCTGCACTTGATACGCGCTCTGCCTCGTGCAGCAAGCGTGTAACACTTCCGGGTCTTAAGAGCGGTCTCTACTGGGAGTTGTATTCTTTTGAATTTATATTGGTTTCATTGATTGGTGGGGTGATTTAAGTTTAGGGGCTCACTATGGTTTAACTTTGCTCGGATGATCCCTGTTTGTTTTGCGCTGCAGGAGCGCATGATCATATAGGGACCTTAAGTATATGTTTTATTACGCAGCGGCACTGCGAATAATCTTTTTTTTTTTTTTACGTATGTTTAGGTCTTAAGTTGATTATTAATTGAAATATGCCGTTAAACGTTGGACGTAATGTTTTTCTCTTATAGCCAATTTTTATATTTATATTGTCGGCTTCGTTCGGTCAAGATGGAATGAGTAACCATACTCTCGCCTGCATACTGCAAATATACGCATTGAATGATACGACAAATTCACAGACACGCGAACGCACAGACAGCTGGCAAACCACGGACCAACAGGCAGCCAGCCAGACATAAAAGGGTGAAGTCTTCGACTTTCAAATCATAGTTTCCAGGGCGGGCCAGAACCTGCCAACGACATGTTCACCGGCGCAAGGTCTTTATACGAAGGCTTGTTTTGAGCGCTCCTGCGCTGCGTTGTCAACGCAAAACACGGGTCGCTTTTCAACTCTTCCCAGGAAATCTCTGGCAGTCGTCCGAGAAATGTGTGCTGTTGTGTATGTATACTACCCGTTGATTCGACGCAACTGAAAATACTTTCTCCTGTGAGTAACGGCCCGAAAATGTGAAAGATGGCAGGATATTATCCACCCGGCCTTTCATATGCAACGTCTTTCCGAAACACTGCTGGCGCACGTATCCTAGTCCCTCATATATATATATATATATATATATATATATTTATTGTGGCGACCGGAAGGAGTGCTCGGAGCTCCGACTTATCTTGCGAAGTGGGCTTTCTACTTTCAGAGGTTTTCACTTTTTAGGTTCGGTGCTTGTACAAACATAAAATTGCGAATTATCGGTGCTCCATATTCCGTTTCACAATAGGGGGAAGCTGAAAAGGGAATTCAATTCGAACAAACATTAAGCGTTGTAATATAGACAGCTTAAAGATTATCTGTCTGAAGGTTTCTTTTAATCTTATTAGTAGAAGCCTCATAATAGCCAATTCAAATGTCGACGTAGACCCGCCCCTTCCGGCGCGCCGAGGATAGGAAAGCGCGAGAGCGGAAATAAAAACCTGCGAAAGTGACGTCATGAGCGGGGTCACATGACCCTCGCTCGCCACTAAGCTGGCTCGAGGATGCCGTCAATGACGTCACGACGCCCTGGACAACAGCCTGCATCGCCGCATATGTCCGGCGCCAATCGCTGCCCGTATTTTTCAAAAAATGAATGCGGCCTACGTTTCCCTCTGCCCCGAAATAAGTGCGATAACTGAATTCGCGGGACAAAAAAATTTAGAAGTCCGCTCCTAACTCGGGTTTCTTGAAATGTTCTTCGATTTCCCTCGAAGTCTGACCGCGGCTGGCGCTACGTTCTGATGGCAGCCAATCAAGCAGTGCCAAAAGTGCAACGTCATGTCGCTCGTTCGTTGTCTGTCTCTGTGCGTTAACGGTCATCGACCCAAGAAATCGCACGGAAAAAGAAAAGCGTAGGTTCACGATGCATTCGCTGTGCGCGATTGATTTAGCCGGTTCTAGAAAACGTTCCTCCGCCCGTTCGTGCATTTTCCGCTAAATTTAGCGGGGAAGGTGGCGTCACGTGACCTTGTACACCTTGAGGGACATCGGCGGCACGTGGGCGATACGTCAACTCAGTGTCCCCGCTAAATTTAGCGGGGAAATTCGCGTTTGTAGCGAAAACATCAATGCAGTTTCCCCGCTAGGTTTAGCGATTACGCTAGGTTTAGCGGAATATTGACGTCTCGTGACCTATGGACCGATTCTGTCAGTCGCCAAATTTAGCGGGAAAATTCACGTTAAAATCGGAGGAAAAAAAAGTATATCATACGTTATACTTTATTATTATTTTTTTTTTTGTTTCCATTGATTTCTGATAAAGGTATGCAGCGTCCTTCAATGGCCATTTTGTGTTTAGTACATACGTTCGACGGAAAGCCTAATTATAGCGCGACGGCTTGCGTCTCGGAGCGTCGGACGTTGGAGGTTGAACGAACGTCTAAATCTGAGCGGCCAGACTGGAACCTCCGACTTTCTATGTATAGAGGGATGGGCACACAACTGCGGCACGTCCCGATTGGCAGACTTCGATCGGCTGTCTTCTCCGAGTCGATGGCGGGCCACCCGATTCCGTTTTACGTTCGATTTAATCGTTCTCACCATGTTCTCTTTAAACATGCAGATTGCCTATTTCGACAGAATCGATTTGTGTGCTTTCCTCTACGCAGGGACGATCTGTAAGGAGATAGACTAACGAAGATAAACCGCGTGATTAGAACATTCAACTGAATTCAATTTGTGTTTTGGGGTTCAAAGTTTGCTACGCGGGATATTTTTTTTGTGCAGTTTTATGGAAACGTCAGAACCACTAATACATTCATTTATTTATTCATCATTTATGAATTCGTTAGTGCGCTCCCGTCATATCTAACTCGTAGAGTCTCCGTGTGGGCTGGGAAATATTAGTCAATTTATATCAGGTAAAGATTAGAGCGTGGCTGAAATATTATTATCATTAAATGCAGATTTTGTTTTACGCACCGCCATGTATGTATTAAGTATCTAAATTCTGACTTACTTTTTATATAAATTCTCATCCAAAACACCAGTGTTCAGTAGTTTGCTTAATATATACCAGCCGTGACCTTGCGTTTTGCCATCTATACGGTTGCGGTGCAGGAAACCTGCGCTGCAGACGTCTTTTACCTTTTCAACAGCTTCCTTAAAATATTTGCCTGGCTGCGTTTGGTTCGTCACCATCAGAGCTTAGCGAGGTCCCAGAATTGTTTTCAGGAAGGAGTTTACTAGTGCTTGGACTTCGGAGCTGGTGCTGCCTCCACGCGTAGCAGAAACGATTCTTTCGGGGTCAAACTCAGTGGCGTAGCCGGGAATGTTATTTGGGGAGGGGGGGGGGGGAGGGGGGGGGGGTCAAAATGCATGTGCATAATGCATGTGCATATGCCTCAAGCAGGCTTGCTTCATACACATATTTCGAACATGTTACAGGCTGTATTTCTATAATCATTGGGGCATGACCATCACACATGGAAGAAACACGCCTCTGTACGCCGACTGTCTTTTGTATTATGCGTTAGCGGAGGAACCGCGGCTTAAAGGACGCGTTCGGTGAAAAACGGTCCTACCGTCCATCATTCTGACGATTCGCCGATTTCTCGTTGCAGATGGCGTCGCCGATTCCGTCCGGATGATCGGGTTATCTTGGTGACGGCGCGTACATCTCCGCCGGCCCACGGTGTCTTGGTCGTCGGCCGAGGAACGCCGCTCCCCACCACCATCAGCATCGCCGGATCGTCGGTCGTCACTTCTTGCGGGTGAGCGTCGTTTGGAGAGAAGATCGGTTCACGCAGCGCCGATCGCTCGCGTTGCGTTAAGCCACGGGAGCTTGCGTCTGCTAACGCCGAAATCGCCGGGACATCCGTGCTTCGTACGAAGCGTGGCAACCAGTAGCCTCGCTCGCGAAATTTGAAGTATGGGGATGCTCCGGGGTGACTCAAGTTACAACGTAATGTAAGGAAACTAGGGTGCGCGAATATTGAAAGTTCCGAATACGAATCGAATACGAATAAGACAAAAAACGGGCTTCGAATATGGAATATGTGTCTTGTAATAAAAAATTGCAAAACAAGAGGTAAAAGCAGGTTTTAGTGCCTTTTTTAAATAAATGAATGCAACTGCATTTTACTGGGCTGCAGCAGACTAAAGACACTTCTAGTAATGCAATGCACTAATCACAAATTATCCTGTAGGAAAATTAACTGCTCGATGTGTTCAGAAAGTTAGCGCTCCCTACGCGCCGTGACAACATTTCCGCCAGTAGAAAGACCCTTTCACTCGGGAAACCTGCGAAATTTCACTGAAGTTTGAAGAAGTTCGACTTATGGACAGTGTTGCCCGGCTGCTACACGTAGATTTCGAATTTCGGGAAACAAATAATTGAGAAGGTAGTTTATTTTATAGTTACAAAATGATTATCAATATGTTTACGCCGTATAAAAGCGAAAATGTGCGCTTTTAACGCCTTCATTCGTTATTAATGTGAACCAGTGATGCCAATAAACCCAAAAAATATTGCACTTTTCCTCCGCGAGGTCGAGTCAACTAGATTTTTTTTTTTTTTTTTTAATTTTTGCGCATGTTCACAAAAGCCGAGCTTCAGTCGACCGTTTGTCGAACATCACCGTAAAGTTCGAAAAAGTCGAACGTGGTCGAACTCGACCCTAGTTTTCACTGCGCGGACTGCACGGGGGTGGCAGGAGTTGTCGATGGCGATGCAATGTTCTAATAGCACCTAGCTTTATTTTTTTTTTAATTTTCAAACATTTATATTAGATAACACATTGGAGATTTATTTTGTATCTATATTTCACTCTCGAAGTTTATTTTGTTGTATCAATTTATAGAACGCGCAATCACATCACATATTGCTATACAAGCGCGACACAACAAAGGGCTCGGTGAAAAAGAAACCGAAACTGATCCTGTCTTGCTGCCGTTGGAGAGATAGAAACAGAGCAGACCGATAACACACAGATCATACGCTTTTCTCAGTGAATAATCATATTCATAGGGGAATGCGTGGCAGGCAGATTATTGTTACTTGCTCGAATATTCGCAGTTTGTGCGAATATTCGCCTTCTTTGCCGAATATTCGGCTTTGGCCGAATATTCGGGTACTTCCGAATTTGCAATTTTCGAATCGAATATGTTTCGAATAAGGAAAATATGTTTCGATTCGTATTCGAATATTCGCACACACCCCAAGAATACGTAAGCAAACGCTCCTGCCTGAATGGGCCTCTGGCGAGGAACTGATTTTATCGGCGTAATAACTATCCGCGCCCATATTTCGAACCACTCGGGGTCCCTCACTCGTGCTTTGATGGTGCATACGAGCGGCTCCTATGGTGTGTTGCACACCTTGGTAGAAGAACGAGAGTTTATCCACTCATGAAAACGATCCTCTCTGGAAAAAACGCGAGAAGGCCTTAATGACAGATTAAGCATATTGGAACGCCCGAGAACCCGAGTCTCTTTTTGTTTTTACTTTATTTTCTAAGAATTGTTTGTTGAAACCCTGCAACTTCTCTTTTTTTTTTGGGGGGGGGGGGGGGGGGGGGAATTTAAAATGAATAGGTTGCCCTGCCACGGCTTCACTCACTGCTCCTATTTTTGTATGTTTTCTTTTATGTACTAAATGTAGGAGTCCCTTTTCTAAACCTTTGAAATGCCACGTGCCCTTTTCTTTGCATATTATTGAGAGAAAAAAAAAAAAACTTGCAACCTATTAATTGCCTACCGTTGGGGTATTTGAAAGAATGCGTATTCTAGCTGTGAAATGAATAGGGGGGCTAGTTGGTACATGTTTAACTTTTAGAGCCCCTAGAAAACAAGCACTTGAGGACGACGATACAGGACCAAGCACTAACTTACAACTGAGCGTTTATTGAAACACACTTACTATTTGTACACAAATTCAGGCTCCCGACACAAAAAGCCAAACTCTTTCTCAGTTAAGCGCACTGACGGTGCACCTACGCAGCTATCCTCGCCCTTTACTTTAATGCAGTAGGCCTCAAAAAATTCTTTCTCAGTTTTGTTGTTTTAGCTTTTCAACTATATTTGTTTCGTCAAGATTAGGCGCACACGAACGGCCATTATAGTGAATCGCTAGATTAGCCGATGGGGAACTTCCAACAGATAGGGCATGCTCGCGCGCCCGGTCGTTAATGCACCTGGTCGTTTTCCCTATATACAACTTTCCGCAAGTCATAGGTATTTCGAAGACAGCTAACGCTGCTCATTCAATGTACTGCGCAATGTGTTTGTTGGCGCAGGTCTCAGTTGCTTTTTTTTTCTTTTTCATTGTTAATTCTTGGGCTCAGACTGTACAATTTATATGGCGCAGAGAACTCCACGGGCACCTCAGGGTTTGCGGCGAATCTTTTTAGGCTTGGGGACAGCCCGTGGACATAGGTGAAAACCACCGGTCTTGTCTTTTTTTCTCTGGTCGGCCGGTTCACCCCCCTCCCCCCGTTTCTTTTTTCAACCTTTGAAACCAGGGTTTCTGCAACATGTTTCAAAAAACGCGTTGGATAGACCGCCGTTTTAAGGCGTCACACCTGACCAAGAAAGCTTTCGCCTATGTTATGCATCCATCCCTTGTCTAGGGAGGCTCTCGAGTATTAGTATGCATCAGGGATGGGCAGTATTTCAAATACAAGTAGTTGAAATACGTATTTCAAATACTTTGTGTATTTTGCATTTGTATTTAATTACAAATTGGGTAATGTATTTGACGTGAGTATTTAAATACTAAAACGTGGGTATTTCAAATACAATTGTAATTAAATACAAATTTGTGGTTGAAAATACATCCCTCAGATATTATTTTCACTGTCCAGAGCAGTAAGAAACTACATTCTGCACCGAAAGCAGTGTCTCTTAATCAAGCACAAGCGTTTAGTGACTGTGATTACGGTGCAAGTCCAGGGCAAGAATAGTGACAAAATCGACGTTCACAGGCAGACTGGCTAAATAAGTGCCTGTGACAACTTGTGATGCTTTCCAGCCTGATTTCCATCCATATTTTTGCCTCGAACATTCTAAATGCGCGGGTCGTCCAGATTTTCGTAACTGGTGCGAGTTGCAACTATAAAAAATTCTCTAGCTAGTGCTGCGCGTCTTGGCCGTCTCGGTTCTTTGTTGGTCTATACCAAAATGTAATCGACAAAAAAAGCTGCTGCTTTTTTGTCCTATTATGTCCAAGCTGATTACATTTTTTTGTGATTATATTTCTATTACTTTACTAGAGCCTCGTGCACTAACTCCCGAGTGTGCGATGCAAAATTAAAACGAGATACCCAAAAACCCGTTGCAGGTGCCCTGAGGTCGCTGACGCAAATTTTGAGGAATGTATTTGGAAAAGTATTCGGAGGAGACCAAATACATTTGGTTGTATTTGTGCCTTGTACTTAAATGCTTTTCTGGAAATGTAAATAAATTTGTAATTAAATACATTTTTGACGAAGTATTTTGTATTTCTATTTCGATACATATTTGCATGTATTTTGCCCATCCCTGGTATGCATCATTCTGGCGTCCATCATATTTGGGAAGAAGAAACTTGAAGAAGCGCGTTATAGTGTGCAACTTTTCGTGTAAAATATCGACGAGGAAGCGTCGGTGGTCAGTTCAAAAACACGCCTGACGAATGGATTATTAATGTCTTATGCGTTCCAGTCGGTATCCATCTTCCCACACTTCGACCACCAGGCAGTGGCATACGTTTTTGCCGCACATTTTGGATAGGTTCCAGTCACCATTTACTTCTTCACCCCTTATCCGCTGGTCGGTGTCGCCTGCCAGAGAGCTGGGAATCTTTCTTTCTCCATTTTCACCATTTCTAAAACAAACAACAACAACAACAAAAAAGAGCGAAAAAAAAAAAAAAAGATGCTTTTGTCTGTATGGCTACTTCTAAGGTCTAAACCGGTCCGATGCCATCCTGCCGGATTGTTTCTCCTTCCTGTCCCGGGTCCCTTCCGGGCTCATGCTCGGAGGAGAGAGTCCGTCTTCGTGTTTCCCTCGACCTCTCCGGATCCAAACCGCCGGGCGGCCGGAACCCCGGACCCGCCTCGACTTAGCGCACGGATAACAGCCGCCGGCGTGCAGCACCATGCTGACGGTCCTCTTCGAGTCCGTGGGGATTTCCGCCGAAAGCTTCTGCTGCTGCTGCTACAGCCGCTGCATGCGCTTCGCTTCCAATACACCAGCGCTGCCGCTGCCCGCGCGCTCGGGCCTGGGATTAGGAGGGACCGATTTCCATGTAGATTGGTTCCGCCGCGTTGGCTGCGCGTTCTCGGTTTTGGCTCCCCGGTTGCACAGAGTTATCCCTCCGTTCGCTCGACGGGAGCCATCCCGCCGTCCTTGTCTCTGGGCGGTGTGCCGTTCACCACGTGAGCTGACAGTGCGGTGCACCCTCCGTGCTCGTTGGCTTAGACTCCTTTCATCTTATGATGGACCGCAGCGAAGGCTATATCCAATGCCGCGTTAGCGTCACGGGACCTTCGGGATGGGCATAGCGATGCTCGGGGCGTTTAGTCACGTGCCGCGTTCACTGCGCTGCATTGGCTGGGGTGGCTCGCCAAGTCCGTCGCTGCGGTTCTGTCACGTGATCACGCTCCCGCCTCATACCCATGCGCAGAGAGCAGATTCGGGCGATGAGAATCATGAGATGCCGACGGTTCATTGGTCCGGCGGGCGCGTAACTGCTACCGCACTGTCAGCTTTTGGGGGGATCCCGGAGCAGCTC